ATATAAGGTTTACATAATTTTAAATTAGATAACTAATTTAAATGACTAATACTGGCTTAAAATAAGCATTTTGCGTTTCAAATGTGTTTTTTTTTTGCGTAGAAGTTGATAAGTGCTGATCAGCTTTCATTCAAGCATGTATTTATCAATCAGACCCTTGGATATTTAAAATAAAATAATAAAATTCATCTTTCATAGATCGATCAATAGATAGATAGATGTGTATATATTAATATATGTTTATAACATCAATGTTTAACAAACATTTTTTCTTCTAGAATAACTATAAGAATTGCAAAACTACAGAATACAATGTGATGTGTTCATGCTTGTTGATAGTTTCATGACCGCTTAACTTTACTAAAGTTTTTACTGTAAACTAGGATAATTTTAACATCAGTACAAATTATTTCATGTCACACAGAATTGTTTAATGAATTTATGTTTATCACAAAAAAATTGTTCTGCATTAGGGCTGTTTCTGACGCTGTACATGTTTTCTTTCTTTTTGTGTGGAAATGTGGAAAAACACACAAATACTRAGTGTAAAAAATATAATATCTGAATAAACTGGCCTGTCCGATACCTTAAGGGCTGTATTATTTTATGTTTATGATGCTCAGTCATTATATTACTGTCAATACAATACAGTATTACTGTCATTAGTGAGTCTAAATCATAATTTCTGAATTATTATGCAGTGTTAGTTAGTAATCCATTAAAATTTATATGTTACTTGTTTAATATCAGTAAATATTATATTTGACAACAAATAAAAAGGTTAAACATCAATATTGTAGCTTTTTAATGTTAGCATACAGGTTTTACAGTTAAAATAATACATTTGTACCCATGAAACATAATCCCTTTTGCTGTTGTAAACATAACAATTTCTGCAGTTCATAGYGAAGTATTTGTCCCATTCTTACATTTATTAAAGCTTTGTTTGTACCGCGCTAATTTCTGCTCATTGATTTCAAAGATTAGCGTTAGCATTAGCTCAGTACATAAAAATCCTCCTTGCGAAACACGCCTAGGTCACGTGACGCCCAATCCAGTGATATATATCAAAGCCTGCGCCTTCATGCTGCTTTAACTGAGTGTATTATTGTGATCTATCAATGCTTTATGTAAACTGGTCCAGATTATTATTATTTTGTAAAGATGATTCAGCACAAGCAGTTACACAGTGTTTGGTAAATTCAGAACATTTAAACAACTGAAATAAAACCTACTCTCACCGGCCACTTTATTAGGTTCACCTTGCTAGTACCAGGTTGGACCCCCTTTTGCCTTCAGAACGGCCTTAATCCTTCATGGCATAGATTCAACAAGGTACTGGAAACATTCCTCAGAGAGTCTGGTCCATATTGACATGATGGCATCACACAGTTGCYGCAGATTTGTCGGCTGCACATCCGTGATGTGAATCTCCCGTTCCACCACATCCCAAAGATGCTCTATTGGATTGAGATCTGGTGACTGTGGAGGCCATTTGAGTACAGTGAACTCATTGTCATGTTCAAGAAACCAGTCTGAGATGATTCCAGCTTTATGACATGGCGCATTATCCTGCTGRAAGTAGCCATCARAWKWTGGGTACATTGTGGTCATAAAGGGATGGACATGGTCAGCAACAATACTCAGGTAGGCTGTGGTGTTGACACGGTGCTCAGTTGGTACTAATGGGCTCAAAGTGTGTCAGGAAAATATACCCCACACCACTGTACAACCACCAGCCTGAACCGTTGATACAAGGCAGGATGGATCCATGCTTTCATGTTGTTGCTGCCAAATTCGGACCCGAATGTCGCAGCAGAAATCCAGACTCATCAGACCAGGCAACGTTTTTTCAATCTTTATTGTCCAGTTCTGGTGAGCCTGTGTGAGTTAGCCTCAGTTTCCTATTCTTAGCTGACAGGAGTGGCACCCGGTGTGGTCCTCGGCAGCTGTAGCCCATCCTCCTCAAGATTCAATGTGTTGTTCAGAGCTGCTCTTCTGCAAACCTCGGTTGAGTTATTGTTGCTGTTTTATCAGCTCCAACCAGTCTGGTCATTCTCCTCTGAATTCTGACATCAACAAGGCATTTGCTCCCACAGGACTGCCGCTCACTGGATGTTTTTTCTTTTTCGGACCATTCTCTGTAAACCCTAGAGATGGTTGTGCGTGAAAATCCCAGTAGATCAGCAGTTTGTGAAATACTCAGACCAGCCCGTCTGACACCAACAACCATGCCACGTTCAAAGGCACTCAAATCACATTTCTTCTCCATACTGATGCTCGGTTTGAACTGCAGCAGATCGTCTTGGCCATGTCTACATGTGTAAATGCATTGAGTTGTTGCCATGTGATTGGCTGATTCCGCATTTGTGTTAATGAGCAGTTGGACAGGTGTACCTAATAAACTGGCCGGTGAGTGTATGTTTCAATCTTGAGTGAATTATAGCTTGCAAAGGAGTCACAAGTTCTTATTATCAAAGTGTTTTATTTGTTTAGTTTCATTTTGTATTTATTCTGTTCAAGTTTTGTGCAAAGCAGAATGATAAAAGTTGTACTGTATCACTGTCATTTCGCAGAATGTGGATGTACATCATTATTCCTTCCCATTCTTTGCAGTATTGCAAAGTTTGATAAGACTCATGTTATTGTCAGGGTATTTTTTATTGCACACTGAGACATATTATTCACATAATGTTCACAAACAAGACTGGATATGTAACTAGACTAATGAGTAAATATCAGCTGTAAATGTTTTGTTAATCTTCTTGGAGTTAAAATAAGTTATTTATGGCATTTCTTGTTATTTCAGGGCAGTCCTATGAAATTCGAATGCTTGACAATCGGAAAATTGGGGAACTTCCAGAAATCACTGGTAAAATGGTCAAGGTAGGAATTTATTTCCCAGTGGGTTCAAACAGTATGTCTTTTGGAAGAAATCGGTATGAAAACCTTGTGAAAACTAATTTATTTGTATTTTAGAGCATAATTCGTGTGGTGTTTCATGACCGGCGGCTTCAGTACACAGAGCACCAGCAGCTGGAGGGCTGGAGATGGAACAGACCTGGGGATCGAATCCTCGACTTGGGTGAGACTTGGGAACAAACAAGCCTCTTGTTCTTTGGATTCATAAATATTACCTAGAACATTATGCTTGTCAACTGTTGTTACTAAGTGACCCATCATGTACATTAACTATCAAGTAGGATTAAATCAATTCATGCCATTTCCTGTGAAGCAGCCAACCTAACTGATGGCACTGGTGATATCTCAGAGAGGGTTGTGTAAAAAGTGCTTTAATAACATTTGTTTTGCATTGAACCTTTGCAGATATCCCCATGTCAGTGGGCATAATCGACCCCAGGGCTAACCCCACTCAGCTTAACACTGTGGAGTTCCTTTGGGACCCCTCAAAGAGAACCTCTGTTTTTATCCAGGTAGCATCGAAATTAAATCTTATTTTTTTTCAAGCATGAATTTTGGTTTATCCCCATTTTTATTTATGTTAAAATAAACTTACTTTTATTACTTTACAATTGTTGTCTTTTTGCAAAATTTATTAATCTGGAGCCAGCTGCAATGAGCACTTTAAATGAAGATTTTTCTTACAGTCTAAGATTTCTCAGTGTTTAATACAACATTAAAAAAAAAAACCCTGCAAAGATTGACTGTAGTGCCTTGGTTTGATTGGTTGTCAACAGTCACTATGCTGAAATGCTTTAAGACCTGAAATAACAAATTTAACTCAGATCATGGTGGGAAAAATGGAATTAATCTGTTAGACTGAAGAAATAAACTTCAGGTGTTTAGAACAGCTGGCACAGATAAAACTGGATATGCAATAATGGTATATAGTCAGATAACTAATAAACATGCCCGTAGCTTTTTACCATCTAAGTTAACCCATTCTCATTTTAATATAATTACTGAATTCTTTCAACTGACCAATTTGTATGCAGACTGATTATCAACAAAACATTTACAATACCCAGTAATCTTGGAAAAGTTATGTTATATATTTGGTTCTGTTCACTTTAATTATATACTGATGAAAGTTTTAAGCTGTTTTCTTTTTCATTTTAAGGTTCACTGCATCAGCACAGAGTTCACCATGCGAAAGCACGGAGGAGAGAAGGGTGTCCCATTCCGCATCCAGATTGACACTTTTAAAGAGAACGAGAATGAAGAGTACACAGAGCATCTCCACTCAGCCTCCTGCCAGGTCAAAGTCTTCAAGGTTAGAGGGCTGATGTAAAATAAAAACTTCCGTTTGACTGAAATATTGTATTTAGGCTACTGTGTTCAAACTGTGCATAGATGACATCTTCATTCCTTTCATGTGACCTGTTTCAGCCCAAAGGTGCAGACAGGAAACAGAAGACAGACCGTGAGAAGATGGAGAAAAGGGCACCACAGGAAAAGGAAAAGTACCAGCCCTCTTATGAAACTACAATTCTGACAGAGGTAATTATAATCTAACAGTACAGTGTTTAAGGGTTAGATCAATAAACTAGATCAACTTTAAATAATCGGTAATGATTATTTTCAGTATTAAAGGAGGGAGCCTTATTAATGTCAGAGATCACAGAAGAATGGGCAGACTGCTTTAAGATGACAGAAAGGCAACAGTAACTCAAATAATCACTTGTACAAACCAAGGTTTGCAGAATACCGTCTCTGAACACAAAACCTCTAATTTTATATCAGAGGGGCTACAGCAGCAGCAGGCCACACCAAGTGCTTCCTTCCTGTCAGTTAACAGGAAACTAAGGCTACAATTTGCGCATGCACAGCAAAATTGGACAATGGGAAATAGAAAAAATACTGCTTGCTCTAATGAGTATTTACTGAAATCCACAGTCACCAGATCTCAGTCTAGTCGACCCCCAATCAATGGATTGGAACAGGTGACTCTTCATGAATATGCAGCAGCTGTGTGATGCCAACATGTCAGAGCCAAAACCTCTGATCATATCTGAGACATGTCTCAACACCTTGTCGAGTCTATGCCACAAAGAATTAAACAGTTCTGAAGGCTAAAAGTGGGTCCAATCAGTACATGTACGGTGTACATAAGAAAGTGTTGGGTGAGTGGATGGTAGAACTTTCAAAAAAAAAACTCGCTAGTTGTTGAAATAATAATGTATGCAGAACAGTATTAAAATCTTATATGTTGTAGCTAACAGAATACCTAATATGATCAATTGTAATCACTATTTATTTATAAAAAGGATGGGTCTTGATACTCATCCTTGAGGAATCCCCGTAGTTACACTGAATACTGAGACCTGCTGAACAGCTAGTCTTCAAGCCACATTCTGTTTATTATAATATGATCCAGGGTGCCAAAAAGCCTTACAAACTAACAAAAAGGCCTTCACAGTGCTGCTTAGGATGTCTTAGGATTGAATGAATTGTATTTTTAGGATATATTGAATATTATTATGCCTCATTTTTAAATCTGATTTCTAGTCGGACAAAATAGTGCTTACTACACCTCTGAATCTGTGACGAGATTTAAAATTAAAAGACACACAAAGATCATCTAAACAAATACTCTGAGAACCTTTACAAGTAATATTCKGAGAGTTAAAGGAAAGAACTAGACTGGATAGAATGTTCACTGAAAGAACATAACATCTTGGTTTAAGCTAAGATTTTTACTGGTATGTCTTTATTTTTTTAGCCTGTTAGATATGGCAAAGGTGAAATTCCACCCTTTTTTATGTGCAACTAAAACCTTAATCTTGTTTTAAAAACTAGGAGGATTATTAGAACTGTTTAGAAGATTWAAAAAAAAACACAATTGGTTTTGATAGTAACTGTGTGCTGTTTTGTAGTGGAGTGGTTTGATTTAAAGGAGAATTTGAGCTTTATAAATGCATCAGATTTTTCAAATGTATCTGATGATGTGTTTCAGTGCTCTCCATGGCCTGAGRTTACGTATGTCAACAACTCTCCATCTCCTGGTTTCAATAACACACAACACAGCTTTCCAGTTGCTGAGGGGTAAGAGTGTTTACACTTTGTGTCAGTCTTGATAAATATTACTGATCGAATTTGGAAAACAAATGATTTATTCCCAATCTAAATTTCATTATTTCTTTATATCTAATTGACCTATTTTCCATCCTGTTTAGAAATGGATCACCAAACCACCAGCCTGAGCCTGTCGTTCAGGTAGCAGATGTAAGTTCATGTTCATTTTGTGTTTGCAGTCTGCTTTTATTCTGCCTCATTAGGTCACTGCATACAAATAACAAATGTAAAGCTGACATCTGGATGTGTGACTTCTAACTACCAGATAATTAACGAACACTGTGATAATTACCATTGTGAGTTTAAGTGTCTTTTTTTCTTACTTTGGACAGATTTGATAGTAGTTTAGCATAAATGTTATAAAAGCTAAAAATGAGTGTATTTCACATGGTCACATCATAAAGTGTTTAACTCGTTTTTAACATTTTCCTCAGAACTTGTTGCCCACAGCGACACCACAGGACGCTCAGCAGTGGCTTCTCAGAAATCGCTTCTCACCGTTCTGTCGTCTCTTCACCAACTTCTCTGGTAAAAAGAGGGTTTTTTTTAATGAAAAACACGATTACTGGTATTTTTTGACCGTTTAATCTTGTCAAAAACAGTTCAATATGAAACAAACCTAAGCAAGCAAATGGAGAAAAAGGAGATTTAATGACCTCTCAGAGTAAAGAACAAAATAAATGTACCTTTGCATGAATCTATTTGATCTATTTGCAAAACATGAATCCTTTTTTTGTCCTCACCAGGGTCAGACCTGTTGAAGCTGACCAGGGAGGATGTTATTCAGATCTGTGGTCCTGCAGATGGTATAAGACTCTTCAATGCACTAAAAGGACGGTGGGTCACGTCAAATTTATTCTATTCACCTTAAAATTCAACAAAAATTGATGAGTTTTAAGGATCTCATTTTTTTGTTTTTGTTTTTGGTCATCTCTGTGTGCTGATGCAGGTTGGTTCGTCCGAGGCTGACTATCTATGTTTGCCAGGAGTCTCAGCAGGTCCGAGAGCACCCACCAAAACATGAAAATGGAGATGCTGCTGCGAGTACGTTCTTTGGTCAGTACATACTTCAGTTTTATTACAAAACACATAAATAAGCCTTTGAAAGTAAAAAACCTATTGGGTCAAAAATTGATTGTCACATCATTACATTAAATCAGCAATTTGTAATTAAAAAAACAATGTTTTTGTGTTTACAGGTTTTATCAATTGAATTGGTATTGAATGGTTTCAGAATTTATCTCTAATTCATGGGAAAGAAGCATTTTTTTGTTTAATTATGAGAATTGGGGTGGAATGTTAGTTTTTAAGAAAAGACGATTTCTTAAATCTATCCCATAATATTACCACTAAATGTATATAAAATCTAAAAGCCCTGTCACACTAGACAACCTATGGCAACTTATGAACATTTTAAAGACATCTGCATTGAAGATGGAAGTGAAAAAATCAACAGGAAACTTCTTTTTGCCCATCCATCCATCCATCCACAACCCTACTGAGAGGAGAAATATACCGAGCCGAACGAGACGACTGTAAATGAGAGCTGCTGCTTTGTCAGACAAATTTATTTTAATTTGGAAGTCTTATCAACACAGACTGGCTTCATTCACTTCCTCCACTGTCGTATGCTAAAATAACTAGCAGACACTGCGCAGAACATCAACGTCATTCAAAACTCCACCTTCTGTTTGCTGATTGGCCCAGGTAAAATAAACTACAAGCAGACATTGCACAGAAAATCGACGTTCTGTTCTCTGATTGGCCCGGCTAAAAATCTGCCAGCGAAATCCATCTCAATGGGAGAAGACCCAGACGGAGCAGAGAAGCAAAACTAGAATTGAGCGGAGCTGCATAGGATGGCAAGGGCCTGGCTAGCCCAGTCTGATACAGGTTTAAAAAGACGCTGATTTCAACAAATCAAACGAACCCCACAGCTTTATCCAATCAGAGCAGAGCAGGGCGAGTCTTTCTGATGTCGGTGCAGCAGTCAGGATAAACACCATTCAGCCTGCAGCTCCTTTCCTGAGTGAACAAACTCCGTCCTCCACGCTTTGCTCCTGAGCTACCAGAGACGTTGGTATCTAAAATCTAACACACTATAAGTTTATGTGTTCAGAGCGTCGTTATCTAACAGATGTGTCCAACTTTGTTCGCATGACCAAACTCCTCTCTTCAACAGCGCTGTTACGGGAGCGCACCAAGGTGCACACAGGCTGAGTTCTGAGAGCCGCTGCTCTTCCAAAATATTAACTCAGATGAACACTTTGCCCCAGTGTAGAAAAGACAAGTCTCTGCTTAGCGTTAGCCCCCAACCCCCGCAAAACAACAACAACAACTCGATGTTCTTATCATAAATATCTACAAATTTCATTCTTCACACTATATCTTGCTTATATGTAGAACCATACTGTGACTGAACTGCTCTGTGATTCAATGAATGATCAAATATGAAGAATAAATATTATTAAATTATTACATGAGCTGTCTAAATAATATAATTTTGAAATATTTTTTTTTTATTTTAATAGAGAAATCAGTCAGTCTAACAAATAAAAAATGTAGTTAAGTTATTTTGTGCAGTACAAAAGGCATATTTGGTATATTTTTAAAAATATAAAGTTATAGTACATACATAATGTGTTTGTTTGCACTGAAAAGTCATGGAGATGGTTAAATATTATCTGACTCAAGTCTTGACAAAAATGTGTTTTATTTAATATGACAGAAAACTGTTCAAAATCAAACTCTTCCTTACAATTCCCTTTGGTCCAAATGATTCAGGTTAAAATTTGTGTATAATAATTCATTAGAGAATACTAAACTGTGTACTTTGACTAAGAACATGGACGCAGTGTATAGTGTTATGACTATACTATACCGTGTACTTGTGTGTGTGTGTGTGTGTGGTGGGGGGGTGGTAAAAGTTACCTTACATTTATCGTTATTGAGGTAAACTGGTCAATATATCGTGATATTGATTTTAGGTCATATCGCCCAGCCCTATGTACAACTGAGCTGCTTCAAGGCTTCTGTTTACGTCTGTTGTGCACATTTTTCCTTTAAGCAGAATTCCAGTAAAACCTACCTTTTACTATCTTCTGAATGTTGTTCAAAGATCTAAACCAAAATCTGACCAGACACCAGTTTATCAGAGTAATTTATAGATTCTGCTACAAAGGAAAAGACGGGGGTTAAAAAGAAAGAATTTGTTGAGTAGACTCGGGCTGAACTACAGAAAATGTGATGTTAAAAAAATAAGCTACTTGCATTTGTACCTAAAATATGTTATTTGTTGTAAATTCATCAAGTCAGATTTTTAGACCAAATTTTTGTTACTTAAATTGATAACGTCATTTTTTATGATGTCCTTGGACCCTGGAGACCTCTTCATAAACTCAAGATGTCCAATAAAGAAAGAAAGTCACCCTGTCTGGCCTAGAAAGACAACTGGGGTTAGTTTTTCTTTTCTTGTTCCTCATTTTAAAGGGGCCATATCTTGTAAAATCAACTTTTTTGAGCTTCATATCATGTTATAATGTTATCCTCTCATCAAAAACATGCCCAGAGTCTTACTTTGACTCATTCTTGCATGTTTGAGAAATCCTGTAGTGTCCTGAGGCAGCAGGCAGGGGAGCAAAACCCACCTGCTGGGCCTAGAACCACCTTTTGGGACCAGCTCCTCCACTGGACTGTGTCTCCAAGCTGAGCTTCCTCATCACAGAGCACACAACATAGATATATATAAAGACTAGATAAGACATAGCGGAGTCTCCGGCATCCTTACACGGTGGCCATCTTGGGTCGGGAAGCTCGCCCACTCTTAACATGAACATGAATGGTATATTTACTATTTAAATAACCATAACTTGGTCAATTTTGATTGGATTTTCAAACAGATTTTTTTTGTTGTAAAGGAGAGACATGTTGTTATAAAATGGCATACTTATAATGGACATTCATATAATAATTACATTATTTTGATAGGTAAAGTAATATCAGTATATACACAGAATACATTTAGGTTAATTTTACAGGAATTTACAAATAAAAATATCAAGCAAAATTATACACAAGTCAAAAATAGTACAAAATAGTACTAGCAGTAGTAATTAATATGAAAGAACCCCCTAGACATGCAAATATTAACCTTTTTATAATTCTTTTACATAATAAAATAGTGCTTTACACCCACCCAGCCCCGTGCTGAAATGTGCGGGACAGAAGCAGAAGGAGGTTCTTAAAGAGACAGAGGCCAATTTCAAGGTGTTTAGAAACAGAAATGATGAGAAAACAAGTTTATTTTCTATTTAAACATATAAACACCAATTTAATAACAACTGAAGGTGACATAGTTACTTTATTATGGTATAGAATTTAAATATAGGCCCGAGAAATACATAATATTGCCTCTTTAAGATAACATGGCTTCATATAGTGTCACATTATTGTACAAGCAAGATACATTTTTGTTTTTACATTTGGTAAGAAGTGGGGTGCACTGGTTGCAGTTTTCTGGCCTGTCTTGTATTATTGAAAAACATTATATCTGGACTTAGGGCTGCATGTATATGCGATACATGGTAGAAACAATATGAAGTTGACCTACGGTAGAAATTTACCGTCTACCATCCTGTCGTCAGTTACGTCATTGCACCTGTGTCAAAGTGTACTGGAAACTTTCAATTCTCCACTGCTGAACCAAGTACATCTACGATTTCTCACACTACAGCTTTCTTTGCTTCAAACTAATCAGACAGAGGTTATTGACAAAATAACAAATAGCCATTCAAAGGATATTTTTCATATAAATGCTGACATGCTGAAGAAATATAAAGATATTTTTTGCAAGGCCACTTACCCTTCTCATTAATTTGTTCTTTACCAGTGGAGATTTTCCAGACAAATGGAAGGGAAGGTATAGCCAGAGTTTTACCCATCTTTAAATCTGGGGAATCAGATTTGGTCTGTAACTATAGACCAATAAGCATCTTACATGTGTTTTCAAAGATTATGGAGAAGGTAGTGGCTCAGCAATTAATGACTTAAAATCAAATAATTTTTTTAATCCTTTTCAATTTGGTTTTTGTCCTCATTACTCAACAGAAACCACTATTTGCTATTTTATTCAACAGGTCAAATCATCACTTGATCAGGGTAAATTTGTTGGTGCAGTCTTTTTAGACCTAAAAAAGGCATTTGACACACTGAATCACAATATTTTAATTAAAAAACTATCAAACTTTAATTTGCCCAACTTAAGTTTGCAGTGGTTTAAATCATATCTTCACAGTCTTGAGCAGTGTGTCATCATTGATGGTAACAATTCATCCTTTTTGAAAACAAATACTGGTGTTCCACAGAGCTCAGTTCTGGGTCCTCTTCTGTTTAGTGTGTGTATATATATATGATTTACCTGATTCATGTCCAGGCACAGGTTTTCAGATGCACGCTGATGGCATATTTGTGTATGTGGCTGATAAAAACATCTCATCAGTATCTGCACAGCTGTCAAATGATTCAGAATCTATTGCAGCATGTTTTGACAGGTCATGTCTTACCTTGAATGTAAACAACTCCGTTTGCTTTTCTACGAAAGCTCGACTTTGTAAAGATGGCACTGATATGGCTTTAAACTTAAGGGTTAATAATCAACAAATTGAGCAGGTTTCAAAAGTGAAATATTTAGGTTTTATTTTAGATTCTCATTTAAAATTTGAAAACCATGTTTAAATGTTGAGTAGAAAAGCAAAAGCAAATTTACATACATTTAGACTAATTAGAGACTGTTTACCATTTCATGATGCCAACAGTTTTATGCAGACAATAGGCCTCATGCAAGAACATGTTCGTATTCTTATCCTAAATTTCTCTTACTTTTGTTCGTATGAAGGGTTCGTACGAACATGTCACGTCAGATTCAACAAACTCTTCTATCTTCAGGAAAAGTGTTTAAATGAGGAGCGTAAACTGATGAATGCGTATCCAGGTGCTTGTGCAYGGGGAGGGGTGATTTACATAATTACCACCCAAAAAACACCATATAAGGATATACGTTTCCTGCCCCACATCAGGAAGTGTCCATTCATAATAGGGTTGGGCATAATCGTGTCGTGTGCAATTAATCGTCAGTAGAACATTAATYGATTATTTTTTGGCACTTGAYKAWYAWKATKAWTRMYRCCASSRG